TGCTTTTATAGCTTAACTTCATCGTTCTTTGTGTGTTTTTGCCGCATATAAGAATATAAACTTCGACGCCCTCTAGCGGTTTTGCGTTTTGTTATCGATCATGCATTCCTTGATAAAAATTGTTTGCTTGGGAGTGTACTATCACTTCCTAAAATTTTGCCCATCTTTTTGGAATCACCCTGTATACAGTGTAGAAGCTCTGTTTGCAATAAAGCTAATAAAAACTGAAAATGTTAATTTAAAGCATAAAATTATGTTTTCCTTATGTTTCTTTCAATAAAAATTTTTCTTATTGCATTATCTACAGCTTATTGTCAGAATTGTAAATGAACGTTTAGGTAGAATAACTTTCGGGCATCCCCATTTTGCTTCTATGTGAGAATATTTACATTATAATTCTTACACGCGACAATTACACGCATAACAAACAATATTCCAGATCAGTGGTTCCCAATCTTTTTCTGTTATGAAACTAAATGATCGAGCTTCTTTTGGTGAATTGTTATAGAATTTTTGTTTTAAATTGGCGGCTATTTAAAAGGCATTTTGCATAAAAGAGTCCATATAAACAACAGAAATATTAAATAAGTTAAGAACTACTGATTGGATATCAATACTTATTTTACTAGTTGAAAAAATCCTAAATTTCAAAGGCCCTGCTATCTTTTTACTGAAACCTAGGGTTCCGCCCAACACTTTTAGAGAATTGTTGTTCTAGAACAAGGGTTCACAACATTGTGTCCTTTGACACCACGGTGCCCACCAATCATTTTGCTTGTGCCCACCCCTGGACAAGCGAGATAAAAAAAATATTTCAATTTTTAAATTAAAGTATAATTATCAATTACAAATTTATATTGAAAAAAAATAATTGCCCCCCCTGCTTGACCAGTATTCAGTAATATGGTCTAAAATCCAAGAAGTACGACAACTTTTGCTCTAAAGCAATAGCCTTAAACATACCAACACTTTACAATACAATACAATAAAACATACTACAATTGATCTTTTGACCGGTTATGATAAATTTAATGATAAACTACATCAGACTGTTTAGTTAGCAATCAACAATTTTTAATGTCTTGTTCGAAGTTTAAAACTCGGTGCACTTCAGTTTGTTATTGTTCATTTGAAATGATATTTTAAATCTTTACTTGCGTGTCTAACTCCAATTAAGAAGTTACCGAAAGTAAAAAAATGAAAGAAAAAAAAAAGAACAACAAAACTAAATTCCATTAATTGAGCACTATTTTAAATTGCTTACAATGACCTAAACTCACTATATACTTTAAAGATTATTTTAGAAAAAAATTTAATAAGCCTGATATATGAAGTTTCATATTATGATTAAAGTGTAGAAAAAAGTAAATAAATGTGGTGATTATAACTACTTGTAATTTGTTTACAAAGAAAAAAACCCAGAAGATTATGAATTATAAAAGGAAGAAGAGCATTGCAAAAATAAAGCTTATTGTAAGATTAATTATAGAAATTACAGTTTAAGATTGAAATATAAATCTAGGAAAGATTTAAGGTCCGTAATTAAACTTTTTTATGGCCCACATTACTCTTAAACAATGTTTCCTTATGGTAGAAAAAATTACTTATTTTCCTTTTGTTTTAATGATTTTGCGTGCGATCTTGAATTACCACAAATTAACAGTTGCTTATCTTGTTAATTTGTAGGAGCAAATAATTTCGCGTCTGTACATATTTTTGCATATTTTACATCATTTAAATGCATTGCAACATCTGAAACTAAATGATTCCTAAAAAATTATATTGACTAATTTGATTATAAAATTTTACTACTATACTTTTTTCTAAATGTATTTAACACAAAGGATTATTCATATTTTTAATATGCACTTAATATGGTTGAAAATATTTCCTGACTAATTCTATTTAATACTAAAGTAGTAAAGGTAAGCTTGCTGTTTTTACCGTTATTATTTCTTCTTATTTAAACTTGGGGTATACATATAGAACTGGATGCCTGCAAGTGATGTCATCGTAGATAAGTCGTTGTATTTGTCAATATTAAACAAAGTAAAATAAAGTAAAAAATAGTTACATTTTATTAGATTTAACCAGCTTCAAGTTATGAATGTATATGTGAAGGTTAAGTAAAAAAAGAAAAGAAAGAAAAGCTTATAAAAATCCTGAGCGACCGATATTTTTGATATATCTGACCGATGTATTTATATTATTTATGTTACAAACTATCTCAATTTTTAATTCTTGCTCTTAAAAAAAAGTCAAACTCATGCTTCTTCAATATTGTAAGAACACGAAGAAAAAGATACATTCCACCATTTCTTCGAACTAAAAATCTATAACCTTATGTTACTATCTTGAACAATACTTACAGAAAAATTACAAAATACTCTCAGTTGTAAGAAATAAGTCACAAACTAAACAAAAATCAGCCGAACTATTCCAAGATAGGGCAATAATCATCTTTCCAGTCGAACCTATAAATCATCTTTTTTCTCCTTTTTTTTTCCTTCAAGAAAGAGGTCAGATCTTCCTTGGCTAAAACAAGAATTGGAAGGAAAGGAAGAAAAAAAATGAAAAAGTAAATAAAATCAAGATATGCCTTCTGTTGTTTCCTTATAGAAGAAAAAGAGAGTGAATAGAAAATACAGACAGATGAATAAGGATAAAACCCTCTCACGTGACGGATAGTGAGTATAAATCACTGCCATATTCCTCATCTGAAGCTGTCTCTCATTATGAGCAAGGAGAGAGTAGGAGAAAAGGGAGGAGATCCCAAAGAGTTTCTTCTAAAGCAGATCCCAAAGAGTTTCTTCCAAAATGATGCTGATTCCCTCTGCAGGTAGTGTAAATATGGATGAGATGCTTGGATGGCGTGTCAAGGGAGAATGATTAAATTTTTTTCCGGATATTTTCCTGATTTTTTTTTTCGTTCTCACTTCTGGTGGGGCTTATCGTTTGGTTAAATCCGCACGCAAGGCGTTGGGTAAACGGAAATAATCTTAATAAAATTCACCGTGGAATAAATACTTATTTTCCTCACATTTTTTTCGTAGAAATATTGCAATCTGTCTTATATATTTTGTGATTTAAAAGTTGTTGAAAGATATTCTTACTGTTTCATGCAACTTAGCAATAAATTTATTTTTACTTGCGGTTTTAGTCATTAACTGTGACTGTTAAGGTAATAGCTGTGCGGTATGGATCAGAACTAGCTGAATTATCAATGAATTAATTAAAAATTTGATTTGGCGTGATCGGGTACTTGCACTTCATTAAGAAGAAGACCACATATACCCACACATGTGACGTATGACGTCAGCGCCAGCTAGTTGTTTGTAAGTGAAATGGCGTGCTGAAGTTGAGCTGAGCACATTAGTTGAAATGTTAATTTAAGTAAAGTTAATTAAATGCAAGGCCACATCGTGCATTGGATTTGTTAAAATATAATTACTTCTCGCCTACGTCTTTTATTTGACTTAGATTTATTATTTGCTAATGTATCTAATTGTAACTGCAATTTATTTTTATTTTGTGCACCTGGCAACTTCAATGCATAATTAGTTCATGTTCTAAATGGCTTAGTGCTTGTCTTTGTATTGAGTTAGAAATATAAAGGGAAAGAATTGAAATCTTTGTGAAAGAATATAGTATGTGTCACTTAAGAGAATTGTTACTTAATGGACTTGGCTTACTTGAAATCGAGTTTAAGAAACAGTTGCTAACGTAAACAAATGCTAAGTTTGAATATCCAATCAGGATCGAGATACCCGCACTACGTCAATTGCAGGCATCCCATTGGAAATAGAGAAACAATTACAAAATATATTCATTTATTGAACCACATTAAGTAGATCCAAAACCAATTTACAATATAGTCAAAACAAACACCAGTCTTGTTCTGTTCTAAAATAAATTAAAAATAAAAAAGAAGTTCACACGCGATGAATTTTGATAATGTCATTGCAGGTTTTCTCATTTCATTATTTTTCTTACTTTTGTTAGCCTCGTTGATTTTAGTCTTATAAGTCCTGACAGTTGCTACAAGCCAATTAGTTCAAGTTTAGATCGTTTGTGAAAAATGGAGTCGGTAAAAAAAACTCTTTCAATTAAAAAAATTTTTTTTTAAATCTTGCGACACTCGAGATGCAGGCAAAAATTCACCGAGGCTGTTGAGATTTGTAATTTGCCATACAAACAACAAAATATTTCATTTTATATTTAGTTACTTTCTAATGTCACACAAATAAAATATAGTTAATAAATTAGTAAATTAAATTATTCCAAAACACTGATTTTATCGAGTATTCTCGTAAACAATGAATTTCTAAATCAATCTTAGGCAATTATTCCAGATATGCGAATCCTTCATTGATATCGATAGTACATTAAGCTTTGAGTGTTCTATTGAATATATTGATATAATGTCTAGTTTATTTAAATAGGGTGATCTGTTAAATTGGTAAAATATTTAATGGCAATCAAGTAGTTATTCTCTTGAAATCAAATACTTCTTCAGTAAAACCAAAAATTTTTCAATAAAGATTTAGGGGGCAATTTTTGAAATTATTGCAGCGTAAAATCAAACGGTATTGTTTTTGCTTTTTTTTTCATCAAACTTCTGTTACTTAAATTGTTGGTTAGACAAATTTTATTGTCATTATAATTAGCTTTTTTTATTTTATTGATCCTTTTAACTTACACTATGCTTACACTATTTATATAGTTTAGTCTTGCATTTTCACTCTTAGTTTGTAAGCTAAATCTTTGATTGACATTTGAAATTAGTCTAAGTCTTTAAAAACATTTAAATTTGCTTGGCATGTTCCTTAATCTATTAATATTGACCACAGCTTTAGCGTATTTCTGTAGGCTTCAGTGTATTATACTAATCCCTCAATAATCAATGAACAAACACTTTAGAATTGTAATGAATATGATGCAAATATAAACATATGCTTATTCCAATATAAAACTTCATATTCATAATTAATATTTTTCAGATATACCAGAACTTAGATTAGCATTAGGAGCCAGCATTCAACATACTGCCATTAAAGAAGGAAGTGACGTCTACTTCGATTGTAACATCCGCGCCAATCCATGGGTCCACGACGTCAGTTGGAGATTTGAAGATAATTTGTTATTCAGCAATCTAACTGGTGGTATCATTGTAAGCAACCAATCTCTCGTTCTGCAAAGGGTGAAAAAAGAACATAGAGGAAGATATCAATGCGTAGCAACGAACAGTGAAGGTGAAGGGAGGAGTGAAGAAGTACCACTTGATGTTCAATGTATGTTTCATTACCTATTAATTTTTAACGCACAGGTTTTGCAGTTTTATAAGTATTTGTTTGACAGAAAATAAATTTATGATCCAAATTATTTCAAACAGTTTTGCACAAAATTTAAGAAAAGAGGATTTAGTTGCGTTCCTATAAAATGTGTTTTAATTTGTACTAAAATAAGTTTTTTTTCAATAAAAGTTTAAAACAAATGGCGTCACACTGCCCCAAAACATTCATTATTGTTCAAAACCATATAAAGCATGCTCTTTCGATCAATTCCAATACCCAAATTAAATTTATTTTTTAAGAATATTGCCAAGGCTGCTTCAAGGCAGAAATCTTACATAATTTTCATTAAAATAAAAGTAAATACATAATTAAGACTCCAGGCTGAATGAAATATTGATCCAGGCAGCAATGAAAGTGTAAAATTGGATACCCGCAAGTGACGTCATACGTGGTATTTCGTGGCATCTGTCGATTCTGAAGCCAATCAGGTTTGACATACACACTTCATGTCACTCTCAGAAATTAAATAAATCTGGTGTAAATCACGTGGTTGGACATAATCACTTCACTTCTTCTCGAGTTGCATGTACCTAATTGGCTATCTAAACTACTTCGCACTGATCTAAATCCAATAAAAATGCCCCCAACTTTCCTCCTATCCCTGAAATCTTAACCATATCACTGGAAATAAAATGCGACCTAAATCATTTGAAAAACATTAAAAAAAAGTTTTCCACCCATTTTGCGTTTAGCTAAAGTTTGCTTGGTTTCAGTATAAGTTTAACTTGTAGCGACAATCACTAAAATTAATCTTTGGCTTGATACTGGAATTCTGCAGTATTCCTACCAGATATTTACGACCAATATTTTGCAGTATTTATACCGGAATAAAACTAAAAATCAATATCTCCTACTTGATAATTATGCTTAAGAAAGAAACATTCTTACGAATTACTAATGCCTAGAAATAATTTAAGTTATATTCGTACTAAATATGTTATGAAATCACACAAACTCAAAAAAGTAAAGTTATTTATCTATTAACTTAATGCATGCAAGATTTAAAGAAGGGTCAGTCCAAATTTAATAAGCTTCAGTTACGTAGAGCTTGCTGCCTAACCTTTCTAATTTGACAATTTGTAAACATATAAAAGTGATTCTGCCTGTCCCTTGTGGATTGTGGTTATAGAGATTAAACTAGTTACTGGTTGGTGGTCATAGGAAACTGATTTTATCTGTTCTTAATGGTTAGACCTGGTCCTTAGAAGTTACTGGTTAGACTTGATGCGAAACTCTTTTGCCATAAATGTAGCAAAGTAAGATAAAACGAGAAAAAGTTAATCATGGCTTTAAAAGGTATATGATAATACCATATGAATCATCCGAAAATAATTAATTTGCTCAATGCATATAGATTATGAAAAAAGCTACCTGTTAGATTGTTTACCAGGTATCGGAGTACAGGTATTTTCATTTGATATTAGTCATTTCGATACTTTTAGCTTATTACTATAAAATGAGCTTGGAAAATGATCTTCAAAAATTTATAATTCCCCTAGATATCAATAATAAAGTTTTAAATATATCACTTTTGCTCTACTTATATCTTCAAAATGAATAAATTTAGATTTTTTAAAAATATCTAGTACTTAATGTCTTTGTAATTTAAATGGAAAATGGCAGAGAGGGCAAATACATGAATTACGGAATTAGCCGAAATGTATGCATGGTTAACTAAATACCATTGGAGAATCTCTGGAACAATATTAGGCAACAGATAACAAGCCTAATAGACGCACGAATTCGTGATTTACTTTGAGCAATACATGCAATATACGTAGTTTGTAATAAATGTATAATGTAATGTATTCATTATCAGCGACATTTCGAATATTACTTAGTCTTTACTGTAAACACAATGTGTGAAACAGTTTCAAAATAAACTAATGTGCTATAGCTAGAATTAAATATCTGTATGAACTATGAAAATATTCATGTTTAAGAGAAATATTTCGCATCGGATAGAATATATTTTGCAACAATGATATCATTTGTACAACTACAATAAACAATGTACTTTAAGCATAGTGTGCGGGATTTTATAGCTAAGTGTCAGCTTACATAATACCGATAATATAAATTTTTACAACTTAATTTGAATGAAAATTTTTGTCTCAATAATTTGATTCAAATATTGATTTATTGCCACTGCTGATCATTATGTATTAAAAGCATATCAGTGTCCGTATGTTTCAATAAAACAAGTATTGTTTATTAATGTTAAATAAAAAGATTTAAAGCAGTTTGATTAAGCAATTCTTAAATATGAATTAATATACTAAATATACTAAATTAATATACATATATTTGTATATATATGCGAATTTTTTAATATTTCAAACAATTGAACGGACTTAAATGTATTTTACATCATTAGTCGTGATCATAAAAATTATGAATGATGTAGTTTAAAAATACATTAATATGATATGAGAAAGTCTTAAAAACATATGTGTATAAAAATATAAAAATATGTGAAACACTTTAATTTAACTAATTAAATAATTGGAATTGCATATTGGAATAATAAAACTATCTTTCAATGCCTAGAATACATATTACATTAGCTTTAACTATAAAC